ACAAATTGTTGTGTAATATTTAATTGACTGAATTAGCATTTTAGATATTTAGGAAAACATACAGCACACAGATATGTTTCTAATGAATGCTGCGTAGATCAGGGCCAGCCAGAAGGTACACTTGAATTTATTAGATGCCTAATCTAATGTGCAGTGTATCTCTAAAGCTTCCAGCTCACTGTACCTTAAAATTAAAAAAAAAAACCTGAGGAAAAATTCTGTCATAGGTGCCACTTTTGTATCAACAATCCTTTGCCTCTAAGATGAGAGTTTGAGTTTGACCAGGTCATTGTGTAGCTCTGCTATATAATTTTAGAATGTTTTGATAGAATCCCTCATCTGTAGTAAGTCAGATCCCTCTCAGGTGCCATTTTGCACTTACCTCTAGTTGACAAGATTGCTGTATATTGGACAGTGGTCTGATTGCACAAACCTAGTCTCCCAATGCTGAATTTGGAACACTGCAGTACATATCATATATTTATGATGAGTATTTCTTGGGAGTTTGTGTTTTTAAATACATGTGCATCAACCTTTCACAATACCCTCTAGCTGTTTGATTACAGCTCCCATTAGCTCTGACCATTGATCATGCTAATAGGAACTGAGGACACCAGGCTGATATATAATTTAACACTACATAATGTTTGAAATAATCAATAGTGCTAGACAAAAGGTTCTTTTATTTTTGTATAGGAAAACTGTAGCTCGTCCCTTGGCAGAAATCCTATTGGCTGGGTTTTGCCTGTGCAACAGGAATGAAATCACTGGCAGTGGCAGAGTGCTGCTGATTAAAGGCTTCCTTTTGCACTTTTGGTGTGTGTATAATTTCATCACATTGTGTATGAACCACACACACCCCAAAATCCCTAAAGGGAGTCTTTAATCTGGCAGTCTGTCATCAATGAGATCATCCTACCTGCTATGCAGGTGGAGCAACAGGACCCAAGCCAGTGTTAAGCATAAGCACTTAAAGTGAAATCTTGTCATGCAAAAGTTATTTTGTTGGCGTGGCAACAGTAGTTTGGTTTTTCAAATAGGTATTATCTGCCAAATGTTTAGGATTGGACCACTCTTCATAGGTATATCAATGATGAAGAATAGGAATGAACTATTAATCTTCAAATTAAAAGAAATGTACTACTTGTCCATAGTGATAAATACATAATCTGAGTGTGTTCAGGAAAGCTGTGCTACTGTTTTATGCTTTGTAAGAAACATTTCAACCAGTATTTATAATAATTCATCAAATGTTTATAGAATGGTCTATTTTGCATAAAGTGTAACATAAATATTTCAACCATATATTTTTGTGGAGATTTCTCAGCATACATAAAACATTGCAGTACTTTTGTACTGTCAAATGTAAGGAAGATTATATTCACTCAGTGGCCGAAATCCTGTTCATGTAACTTTTCCCTTTCGAACCTTGTGCTACTAAAATTTATTGTGCTACTAAAATTTATTGTAAATTATTAAAAACCTTGCTTTGCCTCTGTTCTGAGATTCCCAATGGCCCCTTTTGCCCCAGGGAAGCCTTTGGAAGATTCAAGATAAGGGACGGTAGACTTTGGTTGCCAAAAATCAGTGCAGGATCACTATTGATAATTCTGATCTCGGCAGCATCAATCTAGCAGTGATTTCTATTAAAAGTCCCCCCCTAAACAATTAGAAATCATGGAAGCAGGAAAGGACTCATTGAGGCAGTAAGGACTATCTATAGACAACAGGAAGCAAAGATCAGAATAAATTGAGAATTTACAAAGGATATAAAAATACAAAAAGGAACAAGACAAGGATACCTATTGTCTCTTTTAATGTTTGTACTATTTATTGAAACATTATTACAACAATTTAGCCAGAACACAGATATAAAAGGACTCAAAATAAGAGGGGAAGACTATGAAGTACAGGCATTTGTGGATGACATGATCTTTATTCTAGAGGATCTGAATAAAGCAGGGCACCACCGCCTCCTGCTCCAGCACCAGTGGCTGCTCACTGGGGCGCATTGGTCCGTGGACCAGGGGTTGGGGACCCCTGATTTATACAACCAACATTAATGGAAAAGAAACTCTTGAGATATAGAGATTTGTTTAAAAAGGTCTTACATATGAAATCAAGGAAAGAACTAGAAGAACAAGGTACAATACTTGGTTGGAGGACAAAAACACAAATAGATTCAAGATATACAAGAGATAAAGCAGTAGGCTTTTGTAAGGAACAGACACCAATAGATAAGATACTTCTGAATGTAAAGGAAAAACTGATTAAAATGTTTCATAATATCTACTAGAATTAAAAACGCAAGATGAAATAATTAAAATAATGTATAATAAAATGGGCCCAAAATGTGGGCCACAATAATTACTTAAAGTCATGGTCACAAATATGGGAAGGCAATATTAAGCTAACAAAAACAATGAATTACAAAGAAAATATGTATGAAATGTTCGATAGATGGTATATGACACCTAAAAAAAATCAAAGTACCTCGAACAAATGTTGGAAATGCAAATCAAAAGCAGGTAGTTTTTAATATATGTGGTGGACTTGTAGGGAATCTAAGAGCTTTTGGAAATTAGTCCATGAGTTTTTACAAAAACTGTTATCCTCTATAATTCGATATGAATCTGAACTGCTTTTGTTGAATATAATGCCAGACTTGATAGAAAAAGAAAAAAGATATTTGATCATACATGTAACTACAGCAGCAAGAATTTTATATGCCAAATACTGGAAAAAAGAGGAGACTCCAACAACCCAGGACTTAATAGAATTTTTTTTGAAGCAGCAGAGATGGATATTTTAACAAGTATTAAAAGACAAAGAAATTGCTGAGTCTAGAAAACAGTGGGGGCCTTTGTATAATTGGATGAGAGATGAGAACATGAATGGGTTAAAATTATGAGAAAGGAAATATAAGATATTTTAGATTTTAAAGGCTTGGAAAAAATTGTAAGATAAGTGTGAAGTAAGCTTAGTAAGAAAACATATCAACAAATGCAATAATGATATATACTGTTCTCCATCACATTCTGGATTTTTTATTTCCCCAGTACCCTGATCCAAATCCCCTTCCTTATGATCTTTCCTTGCCTAATAGAAAATGTTTTTTAAAAAGTCCCCCCTCTGAAACAGAGTGATTAATTAATTAATTAATTTAAAATACATTTTAGCAGTGTGAGCTGGACCATTTAGTGAATGTAGTGCTTCTTAGATTTGACAGTATGAAAGTAAAAAACAAATGATTACCCCAAATGATTAGGTTTAAAAAGTACTGTATGTCATGCATAGTTCTTTGGGTATTCTGACATAAGTGTGCTATGCTAGTGAGTTGTCTTGTCTTCAAGTATTTACAACTAGTGCAAGAAAAATAATTTCTAGATAAAACATTGAATTTGGTTCACTATGCCTAATTGTAGGACTATAATAGTACAGTTTTGGTCAGGAATAAGTCACTTTGTATGAAGTTCTACTACTCCCTTGTTATTGCATTTATACTTGCACTATAAGACTGCAGTGCTATACCTGAGAGTATGCTCCACTGAGCTCAGTGGGACTTAACTTTCAGTAGACATTTATAAAGTTGCACTGTCAGTGTATTTATCATTTTTTCCCCTTATGTCATATTTCAGTTCAGTTACTATTGGCTAATGGAAACACTTCTGAGATATTCTGTGTGCAGAATTAACATGGTATGTTATGTTTATTAAATATAAGGTAAACATTCTAAGTCAGATCCTGCTTGATTTAGATCACTTGAAAGTGTTCTGGAAAACTTTGGTGGAATTATTTTTATAGAAAATATTGTCATTTAATAATATTAGTTTGGTTTATTTCATTTTTAATGTCTGTGAGTATAGTATTTTTATAAAGTGGTGCCTCAACTTATGACCATAATCTGTTCCAGAAAATGGCCGTAACTCGAAATGGCCGTAAGTCGAAGCACTATTTCCCATAGGAATACATTGAACATCGATTAATCCATTCCGGCCGAAGAAAAAAATCACTGCAAGACTCATTGGAAAAGTGATTAATCCCTTCCAGCTGAGGGGGTGAAGCAGTCAAGTGTTTAAGACCCATTGGAAGTGCACAGAAAACAAACAGAGCAGATCGGAAATGCACAGAGAACAAAGGGGGCAGGTCGGAAATGCAAAGAAAACAAAGGAAAAAGCAAGGGAAGCATGCAGGACCCATTGGAAATGGGGAGCCCCCCAAAAGCCAACCAAACCCCCCAAGACCCATTGGAAATGGGGGGAAAGCCAAAAAACAAACCCCCAAGACCCATCAGAAATGGGCCACACATACATTTGGTTTGGGCCGCATGGGGGGGCAGCCCTAGCCATCCTCCGCAGCCCTGCTCCAAGCGCGCTTACCGTCAGCTGCAATCTCAGACAGCAGAGGCTGCCAGCTTCGACTCCAGCGACTTTATGGGGCCGGGAGGGGTCCACCTATTGATGGGGATGGCGCAATGCAGTCATGCAGCCCCCCTGTCCCCTCCCCTCCCACTCCCTCCCCAGCTGGCAATGTTGTTTTCTGCTGGCAGGATATCATCTCTTTTTCTAAGTAGACATTTATTTAATTCCATTACTATTATAAAACACTCTCCATTGGATCAGTACTCAGTTTCCCTCTTTTTGAAGTGTTGCAACTCTCATGCTGTTTTAGTAAAATTTTAAGGTCAGTGCTGGGAAAACACTATTTCAAGGCTTTTCTTTAGAACTTTCAGCCATTATTCTAGTCTGGTTGAATATATCACTTTGAGAATACTCCCCTTTGTACCAGTGGAAGTTGGGGACCTTCATGGCTTCAAGGACTTCAAGATATTTGTTTTAGCTTTCTTTGAAAAATGAAATGTGCATACATGCATCTGTAATCTGTTTTGTTGAGCATGTTTATTAACAAATGTCTTCTCAATTCACAAAAATGATTGCCATGCATTTACTGGTGCTGTAAATTTTATGCTCTCTTATGTATCTATATGTATAAACACACAGGAAACCTCGACCTGTCTCTCAGCTGGTTGCGCAACAGGTTACCCAGCAATTTGTGCCCCCTACACAATCAAAGAAAGAGAAAAAAGATAAAGTAGAAAAGGAAAAAAGTGAAAAGGAAACAACTATCAAAAAGAACAGTCACAAGAAAACGAGGTAAACTTTCTATTGCTTGTGCTATTGAGAAGAATGTCAAAAGTATTATGATTATTTTGTTGAGCTAATATGACATCCTGATTAAACATAAATCCTAAGTAAAATGTATGTGAAATTGAAAGGAAAGGATAATTCTCCACTCCTCATCTTTAGAGTGAGGATGATGATATGGAAAATACATTTGCAATCAGCCCCTTGTATAGTCTGTGCTATATTTACAGTAAGCACTCCCCAGCACCAGTGGATCATGCTTTCCCAAACAGATGTGTCTATTTGTAAAGGTCCCAAAATGCAGTTCTATCCATCATCCTGTATTGCTGGACACAACTCATCTCTATAAAAATGATTGGGTTGTAGTTACTGTATTTTTCTGTGTATAAAATGATACTTTTTCCTAAAATCATTAGAGGAAAAATTGAGGGTTGTTTTATACTTGGAAGGAGGCGGAGGAGCAGCTGCGCTCGGTCACCTCTCGCGGCTGCCCATTGACTTCTGTCGCCTCCAGACCCCCTCCTCTAGCGCCACTTGTGGGCTCCCTTTGGGCAGGGGATAAGGTGGCGACATGAGCTGGAGGTGAGCCCCAGCACTGGCGGAGGTGATCAGGCAGTGGCAATCAAGGGCCGCCCCTTGTGGCTGCTCTTCCGCCTCCTCCTCCTGCTGTCACCTCCCGATAGCCTCCTCCAGTGCTGGGGTTCACTTCCAGCTCACATCACTGCCTTGTCCCCTGCCTGAAGGGAGTCCGCAAGTGGCGCTGAAGGAGGCAATCCTCCACCAGCTGCAACAGTCAGTGGGCAGCCATGAGAGGAGGCCAAGTGCAGTTACCTCCACCTCTCACAGCTCCCCATTGACTAAGCTGGAGGTGAGCCCCAGCACTGGCACTGGAGGAGGCAATTGGGTGGCGCTGGCAGCAGCAGCAGGACACAGAGGAGCAGCCGCGCTGGGCCGCCCCTAGCAGCTGCCCATTTGCCTCCGGCAAGGGTCAAAATTGGGGATTGTCTTATACATGGGGGGGGGTCATATACACGGAAAAATATGGTACCTTATCAAATTTGTTAAGGCATTCCAAGTGACTTTTTAAAAAGTCGAATATAGTATTAATATAAGTTTCTAGAAGATCTGAAATTTGGACATATTTATCTGAAATTTGATTCATGAGGTCTGCATTATGAAAATAGGTGCCATTTCTGAAATAAAAAAGCAAACTGTGTCATAGACAGAACACAGTTTGAGCTTGAGGGGTAGCCTTTTTCAGAAGATTTGAAGAAAGAATACATCTGATCATGTAAATCTAAAATTAGGATAGTAGTAGTTTTTGAAGAGGTAGCCATGTTAGTCAGTGCTAGCATAGCAGGCAAAATAGGAAGGAAAGATATTGGTTTTATTTCATTCAGTATTCAGGTTAAATGTACTTTTCAACATAGAAGTGGGGCACAACACATCTAGAATTAGAGAGAGTGAAAGGAAAACCTCCTAGTCTTAAATCACTCTGAGGTATATGCTTTGTGTGGGGTCTTTCTTTGCCAGAGGATGCCTGCTTGGGTTTTATTTGAACCTTTGGTAGGTAAGTCAAATCACATCTGATTCTGCAGCGTTTGTGTCCCAGAATCTGTATCCCTCTAGATATCAGTGTTGCATCTCCCTTTCCTGAATTATCACTTGCTCTTCCATTAAAAGACACAATGGGCAGCCAGTAATATCAGTTATTTCCCTGGCGTCCTCTCTGATATAGAAATGTATGCATTGTGATTGGCACACTGCTAGCATTTCAGATTCAAAAATGAGAGCAGGAGCAGCTGCTACTAAACAGCAGCTATGAAAGTCAAGTTCTTCTGCTAATAATGACCATTTGAGAGGAGGGCTCTTAATGAAGTTCAAAAGAGGGGAGTAAGATGACTGTTATCTGAAGCCATACAGTCTAGAAAGTGAAATCAGAAGTCAGAGTCACCTAACTCCATGTACACCTGAAGTCAGATCAAGGGCCAGATCACATGTATATTAGAGATAAATACGAATATCACCATCACAGGTGGCCAAGCCGATTGGACCGTCCCTTGAGAACTGGGCTGTTCACTTACTGCTTGTGGTGCAGCACATGCAGCCTGTTGTTCACACAATGCCAGTTGCAGAAGTAGCCCTCCGAGGGCTTCCCCATTTTCCTGAACAGCTCTGGAATGTTGTGAGCTGTATGACTGCCCTCCATCACAGCCATGTTCAACAGGGCCCACCTTTATTGTGCTCTTACCTTTTGCTTGATACCTCCACCTCCCACCAGTGTCCTGTCTGAGAGAGATTGGCATGTTTTGTGCCTGGCTGCTATAGATGTCAGTTGCAAAATGTACCACCTGTGCCCTGGCCAGTTTCTGCTGAACCAGGTGCCTAACACCCCAATATAAATCTGCTGCCATTCTATGGCTAAGGGTAGGTTGGGATGGCAGTTGGTAATCGGGTGCCAGTTCTGGCACAAACCTATGGAAACCAGTGTTCTCTACGAGAGAGGTCATCCCAGACTTTCATCGACTCTAGGCAATGAGTAATCCTGGCATTTTTATGTTTGCAGAAGGCCTTTTATTGCACCTCTCCAAGCAATTCCAGGGTAGCCTGGAACTTATTCTTGAGATGTGGGTCTAGCGTTTGCTGCCTCTCACCTCTTGCTCTTTGCCCATCTGTCTTCCTCCTTCCCTGGGCTGATAGCTCAGCCTCTTTCCACTGATGACTCTTACCCTTCACAAGAAAAAAGCCACTTGCCCCCTACAGTAACCATTTCATCTATCAGCAGTAGTGACCTGTGTTGAGTCTTCAGGTGGCTGAGCATGCTACTATTGTATATATAAACAGCATGCTTTGGATAAGTGGTTCAAGTCCTGTTCATGCTTGAACACCTTCTTGTGATGCATGCAGCCAGGCATTCAAGCATCTGTTGCACACTGTTGAAAATGCCTCCAGATTATTCATAAAACTTTCCCAATGACAAAAGAAGCAGCTCTGCTGCTACCCAAATTGACAGTGCCAGTCTGAGTGCTGTTCTAATCCACATCCTTCTCTGGCACATTGGCTTTTAGGGAGAAAAGTGCTTTCTTCACCATTTTTTCTTTTCTTTTTTCTTTTCTTTTTTTGGCCCCTTGCTCTGACTGGTTTGCATCACTAGAACATGTCTGAGGTTCACTCACATCTGTCCCACCTTGAAATAGAGGCTTCTTTGCTACCTCATTGGCAGATACATACACACCCTGTACTACTGCCTTCCATAGCGTTAGTACTGAACAAGGCATCTGGGTGACAGATTTTGTTTAGGGAGCTCATAATAGCAGTTGTCGGCTGTCTTGTTCCTCTCCCTTTTCTACTCTTCTGAGTAGATGCTACTGCAGTGGATTCAGGCAGCATCCCTGCAGACTTTCAAGTGCCTATTTCTTCCACCATATCCATGTTTTATACTGCCTTCAGACTCTACCCAAAGAATACTATCTTATTCTGCAACAGCCGAACACAAACGCTTCCAGTAAAAATCACACTAACACACAGAGATACAAAAATCTGTTAACAATCGATCTGTCTGTATATAACAAAATCTTCTTCCCCTTCCAAATATAACCCATAACCCAAAGATGCCCAAATCTAATAGAATATTTCCCTTTATTACATACTAATCTATGAACCTTCTAATCCTAAACTTTTATTCCTAACTATATTAAGTAAACAATATATATTATGTACAGAATATCAGTGTAAGTGGAGGGTTCAGTTGAGGACACAGAGAAAACTGCTACTGTGCAGAGTTGCATGAGAGCATATCCTGACAGCAAATGCCCAGGGGATTTATAAACAGCTATGCCAATCTTTCAATTGAAAAGAGCCAATGTGAAAAAATGCTTTCTGGTATCCATAACTGTTTCTAGATTTCATTTACATGTTTTGTTCTCACTCCAGCCACCTTCCCTTGAAAAACCCATGACAACCTCAATCAGGAGACTGAGTTCCTTACCCAACTACCCTTGGTGCCAAACTGTCTTTTTTCATTTCTGAAGAAACTGCTCCAGGATGCCTGAGAAATAGATTTCATTTTCTTCAGCTAGCAAGCAGAAGACTAGCCTTTTGCTTTCTAAAGTACTCGGTGTATTAATAATTATTATTACAGATATTCAGAACTATCAGATTCAAATTCACAAATTCTGAATATTTCTGAATCTGAATATACATCCCTAGTGGGAAGGGTTTTAAAACACAGAAATGTGTACTTTTCCAAATTTGGTACAGAGGAAGACCATACTGTTTATAATTACTGTACCAAACACTGTCATAATTCAGAAACCCAGTCCAAAGTTGTAACTTGTTTAGACTGCCCCAAATGCTATTTTGACTAATTACACAGTATTAGAGAGACAGTTGTGTGCACTTATAATTTATGTGAATAAACAAGAAAGAAGTTTTTTTAAATTGATGTCTGGCACATGGATTTTTAGAAGCATTAGAGACAACTGGAAAGTCAGTTTCTGGATTGGGTAGACCTTTGGTCTGATACTGAAGAACTCTTTTTATGTTATAATCTCCCTAGCTGGATCATACACTCTTCGGCTTAATTATTTATAGTTTTCATATTTTCATTATTGTAGGCCCAGGTTGAAAAACGTTGACCGAAGTAGCGCTCAGCACTTGGAAGTCACTGTTGGAGATCTGACAGTCATAATTACAGACTTTAAAGAAAAAACTAAGTCACCGCCTGCCTCCAGTGCAGCTTCTGCAGATCAGCACAGTCAGAGTGGTTCTAGCTCTGACAATACAGAGAGAGGAATGTCCAGGTCATCATCACCTAGAGGAGAAGCCTCATCACTGAATGGAGAATCTCATTAAAGTTTATTTACTCCAGTTTCCTTAGTCTTTCCTCTCTGAAACTTGCAAATATACACAACTTCTGCCAACAGTTACCACATTTTCATGACTTATTACCCACCATGCACGATTTGTATGTTTACTCAAATATGATTTATGCAGTTTTATACAAGCAAAGTACAGCAATGGGATTAAATTTCATTGCAGTCTTCAAAACATTTTGAGATCAAATTTTTAATCTTCATATGCAAAGGTGCCATGAAAATGTGGTTTGAATGTTCTTGATGCAGTGTTACTGGTAAGTCCATTTTCTTCTTTAGTTTAGTGAATTCTAACACAACTCTTGGATTCTATACTATTGGCATGTACTGAATTACATTTTTATAACATAGTTCAAACTGCCTAAATATGTATTATTTGAGAATTGTGAAACATAGTTATATGTATGCAAGTCAAAGATCAACTTAATCAACTATTGCTGCAAAAGACTTTTCGTAATGATTATCTTTAAAACACCTGCTGGTACTTGGTGTGGTTGAATAGGAAAAATGTTATTAAATAAAACGTTTGTATGAATTTTTGCCAATGTCTGACACATTTTACTAGATTGCTGTTAACTGAATTGCTGGCTTCTCCAATATTTTCCTCACACACTTAAAACATTTATTGTAATGTTTACAAGCAAAAAAAGTAAATCTGTTACAAGCATTAACTGTTTAGCTTTATAATTCAAGTATAGTACTACCTTGTCCTTATACACTGGTATTCTGTGTTATAGAACATGAATTTGTTCTCAAGTTATTACGCATTTTCTGTTTTCTTCTAAAATATAGAATTTAGTATCTAGCTACTGTTAATACCTTACAATCAGAACATGATCCTGTTTGCATTAGGCTTATTCTTTTCTTCTCCCAGTGTCATAGTGATGTATGGGATCAGCTAGAGGCTGGGATCCAAAGACACTCTTAAGTTTGTAAATGAATTTTAATGCAGGCATGTAGTTTCCCTTTTCTTCTTCAGCCTTGCCTCTTTGCATTGCATCAGAGACCATTCCTAGAGATCTCTAGCCTTTGAAGGCCAGTGCAGAGGACTGTAACTGGAAGAGGTAAGCTTTGTCAGCCGGGGTGGGGGGAGGAGGAAGGAGAGAGCGTGTGATAGTGATTAAGTTCCTTGTGCACACTTTTGGATCCATGCCAGTGATATTAAATGTTGCACCAGAGTGAATAAGCAAAGTAGTGTATATTTAACATTTGCTCCTATATCAGGCTTTTGCTTTTTTTAAAAGAAATCCTTTATTAAATATTATAGATAAAAAATAGGAAAATTCAGTTCTTTGTTTCTGATATAGTTGTCAACATTTATGCATTTAGCAATATATAGATACAGAACAAAAAGATTTACAGTCCCATTCGGTATTATGTAAACTTTCCAATAAAATATTTTTATGAGTATAGGTTTTGCAGTTTTGTTTACAGTCAGTTAAATGTTTTGTTGCAGAAATTAATTAATAGTTCTTTCACTAGAACTGTAGTTAGAAATACAGTGGGAGGGGAAAGGGTTTATAAATTTATGGGTGTTTTAATATATATTAATATACCAACCAAACGAAGAACACCCACTGCTCAAAACAAACATTCTATTAACAGTGTTTCTGTTTCTCTTGTATAGCATTCTAACTATGATGCATTAAAATTGACAGCACACCCATATGCATGTCTGCTGTAAAAGGCACTATTTAGTTCAATTACTCTTAACGGTCAGCTATAAACCTTATGGACTGCAGCATATCAGTGCAATCCTGTATGTTTTGATCCAGCAGCCTGATGCTTCAAGACTTATTTACTAGGGAATAAGCCTGTTTTTACTCAGTATAAGTTACTTCTAACTAAACAAGCTTAGAATTACATTGCACATTAGTTTTTATTACTTGTGAAAACATCCTAATACCTCTCCAAAACTGTTAACAGTGGACCCTCTATTTACGGAATTAATCCGTATTGGAATGGTGGCTGCAGGTCGAAAAGTCTGTAGGTCGAGTCTCCATTGACCTATAATGCATTGAAAACTGATTAATCCCATAGCCGCCCGTTTTTGTTCCATTTGTGTTCCATTGTTTTTTTTTTTTCTGGTCTGTAGGTCGACCTTGGCCGCCCGTTTTTGTTCCATTTGTGTTCCGTTGGTTTTTTTTTCTGGTCTGTAGGTCGATTCTCAGGCTGCAAGTCGAACCTAAATTTTGCGGCCAGAGAAGTCTGTAACTCGGAAAGTCTGTAAGTCGAGCCGTCTGTAAGTTGAGGGTCCACTGTATTTCTGTGTTGCTACCAGTATCTTGCTCACACCAGCATGTTTCACCCACACATGCCCTCATTAATAGATCATACCTAGGAAGGTGTAAAGACTGAACCAAGTTCTCAACATCATATACTGCTTAAGGGCCAGTAGCAGCAACACCCCCGAAACAGCAAAACTGAGAGATGTGTGGTTTGGGGTTCCTATTTTAGACTGCAGTTGTATGCACCCATATCTGGGAGTATATCCCATGGAAGTCAGTAGGGCTCATTTATAAGAAAATAGAAACAGAATGGGGTTATTAACATTTTTATTTGGTAGTTCATATTTGGTACAGAGTCCATCTTGGTATTGTTGCAGGGAGCACAATTTGCATTCTAGCAAAGAATTCACATTTTTTCATTGAAAATATTTATTTTGTAAACCAGTAGGTGGGGCTTTTATAGTAATTCTAACTCCCAAGTATTAAATAAAGTATAACAGCCTTTCAGCTAGAATAATGGCATTTTGTAGCCCCTGCCAAATGTGATGTTTGCTGGTTTCTTGTAGTAATGTATTTTTCTGTTCTAAACTGCAGTACTTCTACAGGCACAATGGTACTGTCTATTTTGTACAATGTTAGTTGTGAAATACACTTAGTTGCATAAAATGAAAGTCTGATGTGATATCTAAAATTTGCATACCTCATTTCTTGATTTCTGTCGGAAAATCTAACATAAGAATTGTCAAATTAACAACTGCTGACATGGTTAAGTTAAGAAACTATTCCTGTCTGAATGTTAATGGGTTTAAAATAATATATCTCAATATTATTATTAATTTTCAAAGCTAACATTGAGACCAATATAAAGAAACATTTCCTCCAAATATCAGCAAATTAGATTTTGGTTTTATTTAAAAAAAAAATGCTGTAGATTAAAGATGGGCACAAACTGATGATTCAGCAGCCCATTTCCTGTCTGAACATGATTTGAGAGCCCTCCCCCTCCAGCAAGCATCCACTTGGTGGCAGCGCCCCACCCCGCATCCTCTGGGTGCTGCCACCAAGTGGCCATTTGCTGGGGGGGGCAGGGTGCTGAACTGCAGATCAGCTGTTCAGATGGGAAACAAACCACGGCAAATGAGTGGTTCATGATAAATCTCCTAGCAGCTTGGATAGCTCAGTGAGTTGAAATAACTGGCTGCAGAGCCAAGAGTTGAGACTTTAATGCCCAACTGTACCTCCTGGAAGCTACCTCTGTAACTACTAACAAGTTGCACAGTCCTAGAAGGGACTGGTAAAATATGAAAACTTGATAGCTAGGGAATCCAGGCACAGTTTACCATTATTAAAGTGTCTTGATAGCACATCACTAATTTAATTAAATAGTCTCCTGTGCTTTGAAAAATTTTGAGGAAGAAAAAAATATACAGTACATAATTCACAGAAAACAAGTTTTGGATTATCCAGTTATTATATTTTGTATAGGTGCATAGGAAATTTAGACTGCACTGAGCTATGAGACATCCATCATTGTTATTTCTTGATAAGAAAAATACAATTTTACAGTGTTCCTTAGTAATTTACTCCTTGATCATGAAAGCTATCCAAGGTATATCACCAATTTTAAAGTTATAACTAAATGTGAAAGTAACTGAAAACATAATTTCCTAAGTGTCTCTTCTATTAGAATCTTTAATTTACATGTCCCAAGTGCTTAATTCACATTTTAACATCTTCTCTGGTTGCAAGCCCTAAAAGGCAAGCAAGCCTTAGAGGCAAATTAAGATGAGGTACAAATTATTATGAGGTAGAAAAAAAAGAGGTGTTTTTTTTAAAATAAGATACATTTAAGACAAGAAGCAACACATTTCAACACCTGGCTTAAAAAAGGATTTTCATAGTGGGAGGTTTTTTTTTAGTAAGATACATTTAAGACAAGAAGCAACACATTTCAACACCTGACTTAAAAAAAGGATTTTCATAGTATTACAGTATTTCCACGCTTAAAATGTTTGAACAGGAGATGTGACTAATGCCAAGATACTTAATAAAATTTATGTAAGAACAGTGGGGCTATTTTCCATACATTGTTTTCATTTTATCTGAGGAGTTTATGGAGCTTTTTTGACATAGAAAGTATAAAGCAATGTGGTGATTAAAAATAGCAAATTAAGTAGAACCCACCATAACTGAAGAATTGGGGAGGGGCAGTGTAGTTCAAATGTATGCTTTTATCAAACCTACCAAGGTGAAGCATAACAATTGTTGCATTATCTGTTGCAATTTTACAGAATATATTACAGTGGCAAATAAAAGTCCATGGCTAAAGAATAACCTTTAAATAATTGGCTGGCTCTACAACTCATCTGGCTGAGGAGCCAGAGGTGAGTTCAATTTTCCACTGTGCCTCTTGGGATGGCTCTACAACTCATCCGGCTGAGGAGACAGAGGTTGGAGTTCAATTTTCCACTGTGCCTCTTGGGACTAGAGCCAGCTTGTGTAACCTTGGCCAACCTGCACAGTCCTAGGGAGCCCCAGAAGAAAGGAATAGACTTCTGAGTACTCTCTACCTAGAAAACCCTAGAAATGGCCACTGTAAGTCAGAACTGACTTGTTAGAATGCAATTATAAGAAAATGAAACTTGAGAAAACCATCCATCATCTTAGAACTGCAGAGCTGGAAGAGACTCCATGGATCAAGTAAAGCCCCTGTCAATGAGGCACAATGGGGAATCAAACTTCCAACCTCTGGCTCTGCAGCCAGATGCCTAAATCACTGAGCTATTCGATCATTCTTTGTCTTTTCTAGAACTTGTTGAGATAGTTTAAAAAATGGGGGGAGTCACTGTTGGCTCAAGAATAAGTCATCATTTGAAAACTACATATAATATTCACAGTAGTTTTAAGTATATAATCATGAAAATGCTCCCCAAATTTTAACTGTACATGTTGTTTTCACAATATTAATCACTGTTGAAAGACGAATTCCCTAAGTTCCTACTGCCTTTCTTAGCAATAAAAGTGACTCACTAGCTTAAATGTTCAGTGTGGCAGCTAGCTGGCCACTGGATGGCTGAATAAGATTCTGTTGTTTAAAGGTTGAGTGGTATGTATACATTTTTATTTTGGTGGTGGTGATAGTGGGGAGGCATTGCCTAACTGTAGAACAGCCCTCCCAGAAGCAGCTGAATTGTCATTCGACCGGATAACAGAAAATGCCTACTTTTCAGAAAACTCACTCTGATGGACAGGACCAAGAAACACTGTTCTTAAGCTAATAAATGGCAATGTATCTTATTTTTAAAAAACTTGTGTTCATCACAACATAGCATTACACCAGTGTAACTTGGACAGGCATTACACCCAGGCAAAGCAGATGGCACAATCTGTACAATTAGTGGTGAGGTTGCCATTGCAACTGATAATGGAATGTGGTAGCAGAAGTGCTTTTTGGATAGTACTTCCGTCTTGATACTATTGTAGGTATGCAACAGAGCACCAGCCAATATATTTAAAGGGTGGTTTAACTTTCCATAGAATAAGGAATGAAGAGCTTTATGATTCATTTATAATTATCCATCTCACTTAATTGCCACAGCAAGGCACTATGATGAGATGATGCAAGTCTAGCTTTACTGGAAAGGTATAATTTGCTTCCTTTCAGAAAGCAAAGCTCAGCATATTTAAAAACATTTCCAAAGCAAAACTATTTTGTCTATTATTCCAAAAGCTGTGGCTGACCAACAGATCCAACGAACATTTTAAGAACAGCCATGTGTTGCAATATAGAGTATCTTCAGGGTATGGTAGTTAAATGTCTATTGGCGTGAACTGTGGAGGCAATAAAGGATTTAGGATATGTATCTCAGACACACCTCCACTTCAGAGCAGTTTTGCCACATCAAGCTATTGCCAAACAGTTCTGCCTGGAACAGCTCCTGTCTCCTCGCGCACACTTTTAACAAGTGCAGCATCCTATACACAGGGCTGATCTAATAATTTGCTGACTGAAGTAAAAGAGGACACCAATTCCTCCCTTCCAGGTACAGAAGCACACTCACACGCGAGTGAACCTCAGATCGGGGTTGGTGATGGAATGGCCACCTTCCCTGTTACACCTGAGGGGAGCAGGCCCACTTAGGCCGTGAGAGACAGAGCGAGCGAGTAACCCTCACCATTTTGTCCTTCCTCAGAGCGGCGGAAAGGTAGAGAGCGTTGCAAGAGACGCCGCGGCCTTGCAACTGGTGGGCTTGGACACCTGCCGCCGGGGAGAGTCGCCTCGTTCTGCCTAGTAGTCCTTCCATGTTGTGCTGAGACCTTCCCTGGGCGAACTCAGAAGGCATAAAGTTCTCTTTGAGATTATCTGTACATATGCGGGGCGGGGGAGAAAGAAAGAACAACTCGGCCGGGCATTCCTTCTGCACAGCAGTAAACCAACAGATACCCGAGGGTGGAACGCTACGGCTTCCTTCCCCCTCATCCACGCGCTCTTGGGGAGAAGAAGTGCCACCCAGTCCCTCCTGTTAAAGACCAGGAATTCGGTGTTCGCAGGAACCCCCCTCCCCGACCCTCCCCCGTGGGGACGCTCATCGGCAACGCCGCGCAGCCGCGAGTCCCCGACGGCTCCCGGGCTTCCTTCCACCACAGCTCCCCCTATAGCCCCGCGTCCCTCCGAAGGCACCGACTCCACCCCGGGGACGCCGGGCTCCTCCCCGCCCGAACGTCTCCGCCTTCCTCCTCTTCGGTCAGGTTCCTCCCCCGCCCTCATCCTTTCCTCTTTTTTTCCGGCTCCTACCGACGGGGCCCCGGCGAGGTGGCGTCGGGAGCTTCTCTGGGGCTGCGTTCCCGCTCCCGGAGAGGCCCCTGTTGTAAAAGCGCGCTGCTTAAAACAGTGCACCCAGTCCTGTTGCCCTTCAAAGAGCCCTTCTTCCTCTGTCTGTCTTGGGATTAAGACAGACATGGTGACAGTGCCAGCAGCTGGCGCAACAGAGGGGTTGGTAGATTGGTGCACCTGGCATGAGAAGGGATCCTGGTAGTTCTCTTCCCACCTCTTCTGAGGCAGTGTGAGAACTTGAGACACTCCTGGTTGGAGATGGTGTCTCATGTGCCAAGCAGGTAGATTGCTTGGCGAGCCTCGGCGGGGTTAGTTACGTATTTGAAAAAGAACGAGGAGAGCTCTTTCCTCTTCACTTGCCCGGGAGAGTAAGGGAAAGAGCTTTCTCCTTTCCCTTTACCCATGGAAGTGGGTCACAGGGAGAATGGGTCCGAGGTCGTTTCCTATCAGGCAGAAATGAAGGGAAAATAAAAATAAAGAAGACAACGTCGTGGTACCTTAAAAACTAACTTCTATACTTTAGTATGAGTTTTCGTGGACAAGCCCACTTCCTCAGACTTGCTGTACTTTAATATGAGCTTTCGTGGACAAGCCCACTTCCTCAGACTTAAGATACAGTAATTATTTTGCTTGATACACCAGCACCGAGTGAGACGGCTGCCTCTTATGAAACTACTACTGTGGGAGGTAGTTTCAAAGCTCATTATCCCTTTAATAATAACATTAATCATCCCTTTTGCCATATTTCACCTCCTATTCAGTTTTTACAGGCCTTGAGAAGGGCCAGCCCGCACTGGCCTGTTTTACAATTCCCCAAATAAGTCTTAGATCTTCTGAGGCTGCTGATAATTCCCTTTTGGTGCAGGGTTGGGGCCACATTGCTTTATAAGAATTCACTAGGGGACACTACATTAGTGAAATAACCCTGTAGGTGCTAAGTGATAACTGTGTGTTGCTTTAGGAGTAAACGCCCTAGAGTTCAGTAGGATTTATTTTTAAAATGTGTACAGGATGATAGCCTTAACATTGAAAGATTGAGGCACACCTATTTATCTTTCCACCCCATGAAAACCAGGAGTTAGTTCAGGGGGTGTCAATAGTTGTTAGTGGTACTGGAGCATTAAATAAATACTAGAAGATTGTAACAAGGGGAAGCTACAGTACTTCTTTCTGCTGTGAAGTTTAGTTGAAACATTTTACTTTTGCTACAATACTTTCTGATGTGAAGTTTAGTTGAAACATTTTACTTTTCCACTCATAATAAGATCAGCTTCACTAAAGTTAAGTTGAAATTTATAGTTACTCCCCTTTGATATTGTTACTTGTGCTCCATGGTTTTCCATCATGCCAGATTGACAGTGGCAGAGAAGATGTTTTTATGGAACATTAACAAATCTTTTTTTGTGTGTTGAAGAAAGTGCCTTGAAGCAGGCCAAAGTGAAAGCTTTATGGTATTCAGCAATTTCTAAGTGACAATGGTACTTTGCTGGAATTAAGGTTTTTCTATGATTCCTTTTCACAGGATAATACAGGCATGGACTCTGTCTATTTGGCATGTTATTCGTTGTCTAATGATTCCTTTAGCTTTAATTCAATCCAAGTGAAGCAGATCTGGTGATGATAATTCAAGGACGATCATTTTTCCTTAGCAGTTGTTGTCCAGCTTGAGGCACGAGTGTCAGTTAGAGCCATAGGGGCTAAGCCCAAAAGGACTGAAATTTGGCTTTAGCCATAGGCTGATTGGTTGGAACCAAGTTTGTGTCTTATGGGGAATCACCCCATTTCTGTCCTGATTAGGATATTGAGAATGCAGCATGGGGGGCACCAAGGATGGTTCTCGGGTATTTTGATTGGACTTCCTGGAGGGGATGGAAATATTTGGGTGTAGATAGCTGAGAGCCATATATAAGCCTGCCCTCTGCCATTCACCAGTTCTCTTTTTATAATTCATTGTAAAGCTGGTGGGATGTTTAAAGTGTTTGTTGCAAAGCACTAGGAGAGGGGGCAGTTTTCCGGAATTCTCCATAATTTACAAACACATACTTACTGTGGAAATATAGAAGTCTGCTGTAGTTCATTGTAGTCCATGAAGAAGTGATATACAGTAGTGCTAAATTCTGTAGTGTTTTTTAAAATTAAAACTTTAAAAAAATACTTCTCCCAAGTAGGGAGAAAGTTTGTGCAAGTGGGTATTCATGCAGTAGAGTTTGGGTGACTTCCTTTCTTTTGGGGTGACGACTCTCACCACAAAGAGCGAGGTTTGCAGCTTGGGGATACATCTGGACATGGCACTTACCATGGAATCCTAGGTGGCATCCGTGGCCCACTCCACATTTTCATCTATGGGGGGGCCCTGACTACTCTTGACCATGCGCTGGTAGACCATTGTAACACGCTCTACATGGGGCTGACTTTGAGGTTGATGCGGAAACTTCAAAATGCGGCAGCCAGGCTTCTTAATGGGATAAGGAAATTACAGCTCATCTCCCCCACTCTGGCTGATTTGCATTGGCTGCTCATTTGTTTCCGCATTGACTTCAAAGTGCTAATGATGACATAC